GTAAAAGAGCAGACAACATTTGGCTTCTTGGGTCTTCGCCTCATTGAGTGCAATGTGTTTCCAGTTCCATCCATTTACCTTCAAATGCTATCATTTCATATCAGTGCACAGCTGTGTGAAACCCCTCCGTGTATATGTACCACATTTTCATTATCCATAGTCAGGTGACAGACATCACCACTGCTTCCACTTCCTGACTACTTTGAGCAGAGCAGCAATGAGCACGCGTGAGCATCTCTCTAGTAGGGTAGAGGGGCTCATTTACTTTTTAAACGCAGTGATTATCGCCTTCTATTCAGTGATTTTCGACTTTTATTCTGGAACGGAGATCCTTTCCCCACTTTTAAGAGATACTTTGTATGCAGTGGCATTCATGTAGGGTAAGGGTACAAGTGGCAACTTTGTAAACATTTGCACGGGTGCGCCCACCACTCCAACTGGGATGTAACCAGGACGTTCTCAAGGCTTTATCAGTTATGACACTGCTATTTGTTTCAAGATGTCTGGGTATTTCCAAATTGATTTCTATGTCTTTTCAAGTGTCTCCAAAGCTTTTCCTTTCTTTCTTGCTAATATTTATTTTAATCACCCCAGGAGTGTGGGTGGTGTCTTTATGTGGTGTGGTTTGTGTTTACCGTCTTCCACTGTCCCCGCTGAGTGTTTGAAGTATTATTTAAGCCACTTGCCCAATTTTCACTGGCTGATTTGACTTCATAGCAATTGTTGATCTACTCTGGATTCTACCTTAAATCATTTTGTCCTGCAGAGATGATGATCAATGCCTAGAGTTTCAGCACTGGAGAGATAGACCCAAAATGACCCTGAGTTCAAGGCCAGTCTGAGCAATATAGCAAACATCGAATTTGTTGCACCAAACACTTACACTTAACACCAGACATTCTGCACCTCCCCTCCACCTCCCCCTTCTTATTCCTATCTAACACATCTCCTGCCTTCTAATTTGCATTTCTTGCTTCCCTGTGTAAGGGTGTGAGCTGCTTCCAGACGCACCCCAAGCTCCTCACGGTGTGATTAGCTCCATCTTACACTTTTGGTTTTCTCTCTTAAGTTACAAGGGAAAGAAAATGCATTCTCTTGCATTGACTGACTTACAAGATATGTGCGTGCCTGTGGTCAGTTTCTTTCAGCTGATCCCAGCAGCGGGTGACAATGTACTTTAGTCTGAAGGATATCATTCGGATTTCCTAGAATAACCAAATCTCTCAACTTCATTGATCCAAAACATCTTTTTAAAACATGTCCTTTTGGATAGGTGTGAGGGTTCAGTAGTTGAATCTCTAGAACCCCTGGGCTGGAAGGATAGAAGCAGCTTCCTCAAATTCCTCTCTCTTCCCCCACATGTGCATGTCATAGAATGAGCTCAAATCTCTGGCCCCTCTGCCCAGTGGGGCTATAAGCACTGTTACCTCCAGTCCTCAAGGGTCACAATCCTGGACTGTTGATGGCCACTGCTTGAGAGAGGCTTAAAAGGAGCAGACAAGGAACAGGGTTGGAAAACTGAAACCACGAGCCAAAGAAACACATAAGTCATTCCTCTTGAGCATTCGTCACAGACATGATAATGAGCAACCAATAAGGAACACAAGGGAGAAGAGAGATCATCTATGAAAACTTCTGTGTGCACACGCATGTACACACGTGTGTGCATGTACATGTGTGTGTGCATGCTCACATGCACTTACTCCGGAGGACAAGCAGAACAACCTCAGGTGTCTTTTCTTAGGTGCTCATCACCTTGTCTTTTGAGGAAGGGTCTCTCACTGGGCTGGTACTCATGTCAAGTAGGCTAAATTGGCTGACCAGTGAGAGCAGTGAGATCTGCCTGCCTCTACCTCTGAAGCTTTAGGGAACAAGCATGTACCACCCTTCTAAAAGAAAATATTTAATGATGACCTTTAAAAGCCAAAATGTTCCTTGTTCTAGGTGTTTATTAGAGTGTAACAAGTTAATACAAGACTCAGTGACTTAAGACAAGAACCTCTCATGACTCAGGCAGAGCTCAGACGAGAGATTTATGTAGTCCAGTGGACACATGCAGATACTAGTCCCATGGATGATGGGTTTAGAGGACTGGGGAAAATCTGCAGTCCTATTTTGCTGTCTCACTGAATGATCAGGAGGTTGGACTCAAATGAGCTACCACCTGACATATACAGGTGACCTTCCCACCACGGTTCAGGATTCCCCGACTGGATGACTGGACGAACGTTCCAAGGGTCAAGGTTAGCAGGTGTGGTTTTTATGTCCCACCCTTAAAAGTCACCCAGTGACTTCTAATGAAGTCTGCATGTTGGGATAGTCTCGGCTAACCCAGTCTCGAGCACAGGAGACCCAGCTCTGCCTTTTAATAAGAGGAGTCTGAGAATGTGTAAACACTGTGTTAAGGTCCTGCTGCATGTGTATTTGTGTGCACGAGGAAGCCTCCATACCTGGACATGCAGTTTTCACTAGCATCTCAGCATCCAGGACATTGAGAGAGTTGTGGGCTTTGGTGAAGGAAGAAGCCTCCCACCTCCATTCCCCCAAGGCATGTAACCCAGACCCCAACAGGTAGAAGAGGCATCTTGAAGAAGCAGCAGCAGGGAACAGAGAGGAAGGGAACACTGTGAGGGTCAGAGGACTCTGAAGGTGTCCTCCAGGAAGAGACAACCCCAGGGACAAAGAGGACCAGAAACAGGGCAGGTGAGCATAGCTTAGCATCTCACAGGACTGTATGTGGGGAAGAAAGGACATCAAAGGGGACTCAGGTTCTTAGAGCGCTGAGCTCTGGCTCCGTGTCTCAGAAAGCAAACACCCAAGGTGGTGGGTTACTGTTTCCCCTAGAAAATAAGATGTGTTTGTCCTTGGGAGATAGGAAAAAGGCAAGAAAATGGATGACCAACGGGGAGACTTTGAAATACAGAGAGATGTGGAGGGATCTCTGAGGAAGGCAGATGAGATCATTGAATAAAATAATAATAAAAAAAACCTCCCAGTGAATCTGTTGCACATTCTCTATGAATATATGATTTCTAAGAACATCTGTTCAGTAGGGAGATGATGGGATTTTCTAAGTATTTAGATCAATTGGGTTTTACTTCGATGCTTTCTCTTATTGATACCATCTACTGTAGATGAGTATTTTTTTAAATGTAAGAAACTGAAGCTACCTCTCCATTACTTCCCCACAGTCAGCTTCTGGAGGCAGTTCTCCTCCCATGGGTTAGTCTCTTTCGCAGACACGGTTCTGTTACAGACCACAGCGTAAACGTTTCGAATATTTGGGATTCCAGACAGCTGTGCTTACACCTCCACAGTCTTCAAATTCATCTTTAAAGATCAGATGTCATCCTGGCTGGGGTGTGTGGTTCAGCAGTCTAGGTGCTAACTACGGGAACCGGTAACTGGAGTTCCATCCCTGGAGCTCAGTGGAGACATTGATTATAATGATAATTATATAATAATAATAATAATAATAATAATAATAATAAATTTTAAGGGTTTTTTCATCAGTCATACTATTGAGGTATGATAGCTTACTTACCATTCCCTATTTGTGTATATTTGTTTGTGTATATATATGTCCCTATGTGCCTATATATCTGTACCTGTGGAGGTCAAAGGTCAGGAGCCTTTAGAATATCCCTGACTCCTGACTTCATGGGCATATAATGACATAAATACACACGCCTTCGCGTGTGACTATGGGTGATTTGAATGAAAATGGCCCCCACAGGCTCTAGGGAGTGGCAGTGTTACTTGTAGGTATAGCCTTGTTGGAGGAAGTGTGTCGCTGGGGGTTGAGCTTTGAGGTTTTAAATGCTCAAGCTGGCCCAGTTTCTAACTCTAACTCTAACTCTCTCTCTCTCTCTCTCTCGTTCTCTCTCTCTTCCTGCTACTTGCCAATCCAGATGTAGAACACTCAGTTCCTTCAGCAGCACCATGTCTGCCTGTGTCTTTCCGGTCATGACAATAATGGACTAAACCTCTGAACCTGTAAGCCAGACCCAGGAAAATGTTTTCCTTTATGAGAGTGGCTGTGGTCATGTGCTCTCTCTTCACAGCAATAAAATCCTAACTAGGACAATATGGTACGATGTATGACACGACATATAGGATAGGATACGGCTATGCTGAGTCTTAAACATTCGACTGTATATCTTTCTCTAGGAAGTGTCACAGAGTCAGGTCCCGAACACCCTGCTCTGTGACTCTAGAAGCACACAGCCGCACATGTCTATGCAGAAATGAAGAATTCATAATACAACCTCACCCATCATCAGTTCCTCGGTGCCCTGGTGCACATTGCCATTTTTGTCTCCTGATCATGAAGTCCTTGAGATTTGGGGTGTCGCTTAAGCTAAAATCCAGAAGCTGTGTTTTAAAGTATTAGACTTCCCTTTTATCCTCAGACCCTTTCTGTTCTGGGTGGAGGTTGGACTCAGGAGAGGTTTCAAGTTGCTTTTTAGAGTGAGGTTCAGTGTATTTTCAATAGTCCGGGCAGCAAATGGCTCAGCTGTTCAGCCAACAAGACAGAGGAAGAGAGGATCTATCTGTGCCCTTGGTGTTTGGCTATAGCAGCTTTAATTAGGAGGAATGCCTGGGGGAGAAAGTGGCTAAGATAGGGGCTTGGGTGGACACGTGCTGGTGCTTAGAAATGGCACACACACACACACACACACACACACACACACACACACACACACACAGAGCTCAGGCCTGCTGACTGCATTGGGGAAGGAAAGAGGGAGCCAGGCAGCCTCGGGGTGGCCTGGCCAGGGTCTGGCGCCACCAAACCTGCACTTTCCGGTTTCGGAAGCCAGGTAGGGGGCGCGGACTGCCAGCAGCTCCCGCCAAGTGGGTGAGAGCTCTCCGCCCCGACCAACTCCGGCTACCTGAGCCGGCAACCACGTCACCGCCACATCATCTGGCCTCTTGTATTTGCACGGAACCAGGAAAGGGAACGGCGGCGGGAGGCGCGGAGCGCGGGCGCCGGGAAGATGCTGCAGTCCCTGGCCGGCAGCTCGTGCGTGCGCCTGGTGGAGCGGCACCGCTCGGCCTGGTGCTTCGGCTTCCTGGTGCTGGGCTACCTGCTCTACCTGGTGTTCGGCGCCGTGGTCTTCTCGTCCGTGGAGCTGCCCTATGAGGACCTGCTGCGCCAGGAACTGCGCAAACTGAAGCGGCGCTTCCTGGAGGAGCACGAGTGCCTGTCGGAGCCGCAGCTGGAGCAGTTCCTGGGCCGCGTGCTGGAGGCCAGCAATTATGGAGTGTCGGTGCTCAGCAACGCCTCGGGGAATTGGAACTGGGACTTCACCTCGGCGCTCTTCTTCGCCAGCACAGTGCTCTCCACCACAGGTAGGGCCCCTGCTGCTGCCACCTCACCCCGAACCCCGGTGTCCCCAGGCCTCCCCTGGGCGCATCCTGCGGTGACTCTCAGTAGCGGCAGCCAGCGAGGTGACCTCGGAGCATGATTTGGGTGTTGCAGCTGTTACTCTTTGAGAGTGGTCTCAAACCCCCTGGACCCTGAGGCTGCAGGGGTCTCTCATTTGCTGCTCTGTACTTGTGAGGACCCTGAGCTGATGCGAGGGTAGGTCTCCGACATTCTGCCCTGACAACTGAGCAGTAAGGTCAGGGGATGATGAAGAATATCCAGTGCTTAAGGAGGTTCGCCTCCTCCTGGCGCCATCACAGAGAACCCAGGCTGAGGAACCTACCAATGACCCTTGGATGGGTCACCTTCATGACTGTGACTCCCTTCCCTACTGTAGACCTATTTCAGCTCCTTTGGATCTGTTTTGGGGACAGTGGTGACATCACTCTGCTCTCTGCAGGTGACCTCTAAGCAGACTGGCCTATGGGGGTTTCAGAGTAGGAGGAAGGGTGGGAGAAGGGAAGGTAGTTTCACTTGGCCTGGGCCACCACACGGTGAGGCTTCCTGAATCAGCAGTTATTTCAACTTCAGGTGTGTTGAGCTCCTCTTCTACTTTGAGGCTCCACGGTCTGCAGGAGGCTTAGAAATCCAGCTGGGTATACATGCCCCGAGGCACAACACTTAGACTAGATGGACAGAGGCCAGGTTTTGTTAGTGGTGGCTAGCCATGCGTGCAAGTTAGGAAGGACATAAATGGGTGTGTGGACAGCCAGAGGGACTCTCAAAGGGCCTGGGTACCATCCCTTCTTCTTATGCATGAGATTCAATCTTTGAAATGGCCCCTTTTGGCAGGCACAAGGTCACACAGTGCCCAGGGACACTCTGGAATCTGGGCCTTATGAGTTCTTGCCAGGAACAGTGTGTTATGCCCCTGCCCCACCTTTACAAGTGACTCAACTGCACCTGGGTTACTCTAGTCCTTCCTTCACCCTCCTCTCTGCCTCTCAGGCTGGCCCTTCACAACCTCCTTTGGGCTTCGGCCCAGTAAATTATTTTATTAATTACCCAATAATGAGTAGACACACAATCTCCAGCCAGATCAGGTAAATTGATTGTTTGGAAATCTGGGGCGAGTTCCTGAACTTGTAATAAACACAGGAAGAGTTCTAAGGCTGTGTTGTGGTATTTTAAAACTGTGTTAAATGGATGCCCAAACAAGACAAACCTGTTGGCTCACTTTCCAAAGAAAGTCTGCTCCTCCCCTACTGCCCACAGTCCAGGCTTTAATCTCAACATCACCCAGACCAGTCAGGTCTTTTGGGATTCTATCTGTGTCAGAGTGTAAATCCCTTCTCCCCCATAGACATGAATATTTACAGAAAGTTCACAACTGGCTCACAACGTTGGCTGAGCAGTTTGAGAATGAAGACTGCCCTTACCTGGCAGGCCGGGAGACAGGACAGGATAAGAAGTGCCAGGAGAAAAAGAATGCTTTTCCTAGGTGGCGTTTGTAGGCAGTGCCAAAGTTCTTGTATAATCATGGTTTCCTATGCATCAAAAGCTAGTTCAGATCCTATTTCTTCTGGGAAATATTTGTCTGTTTGATGTGAGCACAGCCCCTATAATTAGGAAGCATCACAACTCCTGAAATATTCGGGGGCGGGGGAGGGGTCGTATTGGTATTCGTATTGCTTTGTCGTTCTGAGGAAGAAAGTCTGTACTGTGGTGTTGGAACAAGGTTTCATTTAAGAAAGGAGAGCAAGGGGCACTTAGGGATAAGTCAGACAAAGGAAGAGACTCTCTGTGTATAAAACCACCCGATTAGTGAGCCGGGCTTTATGAACAGAGTACTGTGAGTCAAAGTCCCTCCCCTCTGGGTTTTGAGCCGATGCCATCATAGGACACATTTGATAGCACCTATGGTTTCCAAAAATGGTTTTGTGGCAGAGACGCAGACGGCGCTAAGATTGCAGCTGGTTGGTTTCATTGCTAAGAAACTGTTTTCTGCAAGAGAAGACCTCAGATGGCCTGAAGCCATCCTTCTCTCCAGCAGGTACTAGTTGCGTGTAAACTCTTTTAGTTGGTTGAAGGTGATTGTCAGCTAGTTCGGTCCTTTTCTGGTTTGTCTGGGACAGTAAGGGCAGGTTTCACAAAGATACACTTCTGCTGGCCTTGCCACTTGGGAAAACTGAGGAAGGTGGATTGCTGTGCTTTTGAGGCTAGTGTGTATTAGGTAGTAAGACCTTGTTTCCCACTCCCTACTAAACCCAAACCACAGCAAAACCCATAAAGACACGCTGGCTGGCTGTCATTGTTGTAGCATAGGCGAGCAAGGGTTTTGTTTAGTGTCTGCTGGCCCCCATGGCACCAGCTTCCATCGATGGAAGAAAATAGGTGAAGTGTCCCCAACCCTTTTAGAAGAGGCCTGAGGATAACAAAATTCCTCACTGGTCTACAGCCATGTTCCAGATGTGCCTATTCTCTGAAGCTAAGCAGGGTGGAGTCAAGCAGAGTGTACTTAGATGGGTAGTATGTTGTGCTATCCTTAGCAAACAGTTGAATCTGTTTTTATCTCCCTGGGTAGAGGAGACAAGATGGTTGCTTCTCCCCACGTCAAGGTTCTTGGCTGAGACACCAGACAAGGAGAGGCATCTCCACTTATTTGCTTCTCCCAGAAGTGGCATGGCAGCCTCTGGCAATACATGCGGATATTTCTACCTTCTGTGTATAAAGTGGGCTCTCCCGCCCACTCTATGAGGGTCCCTCCGAGGAGCCCTATTCTGAGACAAGAGGGAAGAGAACAGAGCCACCGTCTTCCCACGAATGTGGAGGAGCAGCCCTGAATGCCATCGACCTTGAGTCCAGTGAGACTTCAGGACAGCATCTCAACATCGAGTGCGACCTGAGGAAAGGATGCCCGCCCACGCCAGGCTTTTCTGAGGGAAGAGGGCATGCAAGGAGAAGAGATGGCGGCGCCCGTGCACCTTCTATACGAGGAGATCACATTTGGGTTCTTGGGGAATGAGAGATAATTATGCCAGTGTCATCAGCAGCTGTGTAAAACTTTTAGCCACGTGGTTATTATTCATTCTTAGCTCCCTCTCTCCCTCTTTTCCTCCCTCCATCTCTCTCCCTCCCTCCCTTTCCTCTCTCCTTTCCTCCTTTTCTCCCTCCCTCCTTTCCCCCTCTCTCCCTCTCCTTCCCTCTCTCCCTCCCCTCTCTTCCTCCCTCCCTCTCTTACCCTAC